CTAATTTATGTGCAACTTGGTCGTAACAATCAGAAATGTTTAAGAAAAACTTAAGTTGGACGAGACTTTGAAAGGGAGAGCAGCGGAGAGAACGCTCACACCATGCCTCGCTGCACACTGTCCGAGGCAATCTAATACACCTAGTCATGTGGTTTGTTGCCATGGCAGCAAAGATCCCAGCCGCTCCATTCGTAAAAACACACACACACACACACACACACACACCCATACAGCAAACACCTCCCACTGCAGACGAGCAAAAGTTTGCAGAGAAAAGTTTTTTCACCAGTAAATATCTTTTATGAGATGGCGCTCTGCGGGCTGGTGGTCGGGGGCGCGGTGGCACGTCTTGGGCGAGCGGCTCGAGAAAACTCTTTTTCTGCGAGACAACCATCCAGGCGTGCCGTTTTAAATTACTCTGACAGTAATTGGTAGAGCCAAATATTATGCTGCAGAGACCCACGGTGCAGAAATTAGAATTCACCTGGTGTTAAAAAAAAAAACCAAACAACAGCACTTCTCTTTTTTCTCTCTCTCTCTCTCTTTTGCTCGCCTTCCTCCGACTCTTACAGTCAATTATGGAGGAATCTTTGAAATCCAGTTTAAGAGGGAAGAGATTAAGCTAATAAGTTAACCTGCTACTACAATATCAAGTGCGGTATTTCAGTAAATTACCTCACAGCATAGCGGTTAAGAGGAGAAATGTCTGATTATTAAAGACATATTATCCTAATAAAGCAAATGCTCATAGAAATCTTTCTGAGACATGCTTCTAAAGACAACCACAGATAATAAATCTCATCAGTTTTGTGTTAAACGCAGCCACAACAGCAGCTTTGGATGCAATGTCAGGCCGGCGGTCCAATGTCATCTTGAAAGTAATAGATATTCAGGCCCATTCATCACTTACAGTTTATGCAAAAGTGTACAAATAGACACAGTTTTTTCCTTTTCGTAGATTAACATTGATATTCTGTTCTACGGTGACCTTCTGTTTTCAGAGAAGCAACTGTAACAGTTGAGCCGAAGCAAACAAGATGACCAACGTACCTTTCATACAGCACCATGCTTCCTCCCCCTTTTGCTCTGAGATCACTACTAAATCGCCTCCTTTCTAGAAAACACAACTCCGTCCAGACAACAGAAACCTGCCGGTGTGGGACGAAGCCTCGGCGGCGATTTCTGAAATTAGAACCTGCGAGCCGGGAGACGGTGTGTGCTGCCTCTATCTTTAACTACAAATGAGAAGGGCGCCACATTCTTGTGCGGCTTTACCGAGTTCTCTAGTTGCAGACCCCCAAACCCCTTCGCTCCTGGCATGTGCCCAGCAGACATTACTCTTTCTCCGTGGGCACTGTCAGTCTCAGGGAAATAACTGCCCTTAAAAGAGCAAATCATGTCGAACCGTGAACAGTGCAGGAGGGGGGACTGGTGGGGCGAAGCACTGCCAAAGGGTCTCGCAGCAATGACTCACTTGCTGCACAGACTTCCAAATATCAGAAAGAAAAAAAAAAAAGCCTTATTAGTGGGTTATTTACATTCTGATTCTATTTCTGTAGCGGCTCAACAGTGCTGTGAATTTACCTCCTCCTCCTCCGTGCACTTGGAACACACTGTCATGCAACATTTTCCAAACACAAGCACTTACTTGAGTTACAGTCCAATCTGTGTTTGGCCGGCTCGGGACAGTACATCGCAGCTGTTACCACTGATTGGCCAGAGTTATTTTTACATCACGAGACTGTAAACTACACTGGCATCCAAATCCCATCCCCTGACAGGAATAAAAAGAGAGAGAGAGAGAGAAAAGCTGCACCATTGACTTTAGGCTAATCAGCTGTTGTGTTTGCTGGAGTGCAGGCTGTGGAGGAACTGTTCTCCAGCCACTCATGTCCTGCTGGAAGGGCCCTCCGTCGCCTGCTGAGCATCACCATGGTTTCGGCTGCGAAAAGGGAAAAACTTTGGGACCCTGATGTGTTAAATCAGATTCGAGGCTGCTGTGATTTTGTTTTGTTGTTGGATTCTGTGCAAAGTGCCAGAATGAGCAGAAACTGTGGAATTAAAGTGGCGATGTGATGCAAGAATAAGAGATGCTCTCCAAATGGACCGGACGTGAACGGCAACAGGCACCTCATGCTCTGCTCATGCATCACCTGTCACGCTAGAGACACCTGTGAGAGACAAAAAGGTCCCGCTGATACCCAAACATACCCATCCCCTGCGCTTTTTTCCTCCCTCGTCCCTGCAAAATCCTCGCTTTCATCGCGGAAACTTGACAAACTCCCCTTTCACCCAGAGTGCCAAAGTAGGTTAAGGTCGCTCCTCTGACTGCCTTCGCCTTGCCTTGCCTCCGAGCAGCTGCACTTTGCACAAGACTTACCAGAATTTATTTCGAGGCATGTCATGCAACATCACCGCTTTTCCATCCAGGAATCCGTCGTGTCCCGCGGTGCGATCAGGGTTTCTTTGGCGTCGGCGGCTGCATCGCTGCGAACGAAGCGGCCGTCGTTGTGCCGCTCTCCTGCGAACCGCTCGTGTTGTGGAAATTTTCGGGCAGCGCACTGGCTGAGCGGAACAAGGCAGCGGCTGCCTCCAGTCTGTGGCCTCCGCGGTGACGTAATGCGGAATCTCTTCCCTTGCGTCAGTGTTAAAGTTTGATGCAAAAAAAAAAGAGGAGAAAAATGAGGAGAAAAGAGCAGATTTACATGCATATATTATCACAGATGCATCCATACAGGCTGTGTACACATGCAGCCATTTGCCAGTTGAAGCCGCATCTTTACATTTGGCTTCAAGAAGATGACGTCATGGTAAACAAGGCGCATTTCGGCAAACAAAAACAACAAATTAATGAATCATAATTGGCAATCGCGTGCTTATTTCAAGATCTTCCATGAAAACGTAGCGATGAATAGATGATCAGTTTCCAACTCATTAAGCAGATTAATTAGTAATTTTCATGAAATTACCAATTAACTGCAGATGTTTTAAAACTATGATTAGACTCTAAAATTGATCAACCACATTCAGCTTAAAGGTCCCATATTGTGCCTCTTTTTCAAGGCAAAATAATAAATTCTCACATGTCTCCACGGTGAGTTTCAGGTTTTCCAGCTCAAGATGCTGCAAAGATTTCACCATGACTGCATAACTTCCAGGTTTTAGGGTTTTTCTAAACATGCTGTTTTGCTCTGAAACCCAATTAGCTGTGCTGGTCGTACCTTGATATCTAAACAGCTTTTGTTTTTAAACCTCCAAGTTTATAACAACCACGAAATACAATAAAAATACACTTTCTTTCACGTGTGTTTCTTTTTTGTTTTCATTTGGCATCAAGAAGATGACGTCATGTAGATGAACAAGGCTCATTGTAGCAAATGAAAACAATAAATTTATGAAATTATAATTGCATCAAAACAGTTCTTATTTCAAGATCTTCCACGAATACAGAGCGATAAACAGATGATCAGTTTCCAACTCATTAAGGACATTAATTAGTGATTTTTATAAAATTACAATTTCACATTGCAGATGTTTTAAAACTATGATTAGACTCTAAAACTGATCAACCATATTCAACTTAAAGGTCCCGTATTGTGCCTCTTTTCACCAAAGTAAAGTCTCATATGTCTCCACAGTGTTTTTCTCGTGACTGGATAACTTCCTGGTTTTTGGGCTGTTCTAAATGTGCTGTTTTTGCTCTGAAAACCAATTAGCTATCGGTGGCTCTGTCCTGGTCACACCTTGATATCTTAACAGCCTTTGTTTCACACCTACAAGTTTATAACAACCACAACATACAATAAAACTGAATTTTCACCATTAAAATCTGGCATTATCTGTCTGCCCTAAAATCTTTCGTTAAGCAAGGTAAGAAATGTAATTTGTTTTCACAGACATCTGAGCTCCTTAAACTTACAATAAATAGTTATTGTGACAAATATGAATCTTACAAAATAGTCCCATCAGCTTTTAGTTTAACCAACAAATTTGTTTTTGTAAAAACAAGAACACAAAATGATCAGTAAAACCAACAAACTCTTATAATATCTTGAATTGTTAAAACACAAAAAATCACGACTGTTTCAGCTAAATCTGTAAATTCCAAACAAAATAATTAAAGTTGGTTGAATTAAACATCTCCCAGAATTGATTTTCCCTATTAATTAATGCCGCCGGGTTACTTGTTCAGGAATAGTTTATCTCGGTTGAAATATTAAGTTAAACCAAAAAAACCATAACTGTGTAATTTGCTCACACAACTTATGATTCACATTTTTGAAAATGCTTCATAAAATTGCTTTATTAACATGGAAAAGCATTTAGAGTGTCTTTTGAATTAAATTTTAGAACCTTTATTTAAAAAAAAAAATATCTCATTAGTATTAAAACTACTATAAGGTTTAATATTATGACAAATGCCACATATTTTGACATGTTTCTCTAGCTTTTAACATTTCTGTTATAGAACTATATGCAAAATAGTCTAAGTAGTGTGTTTGGTGTCTGACATTAAGCATAATTTGGTGTAAAATTTAAGCTCAACATTTGAAACGGTGAGATTGAATACAATAAATGCAAAGTTCTCCATATTTTGAGATTTTCATAGATGAATAGTTTTGGTTTGGGAAAGAAAAAACATGTCAAAATAACACCTGCAATACAGGAAAGCACAAGGAGACAGCTAGGCTCTATTATCAAACAGCTAGATGTCAGTGATAAATACTGGCTGCTCATTTGAATCATCTTTATGGTCTAATAATCTTAATGGTAAAAATAATAAAAAATAAAAATAATGTTGGAATACCATTACAGCAACTACTGGAGAACCCCAATAACACTGATTTATAGGTGTCCTGATTAGGATTGATTGGGCATTAAACACTAAATCTTACATTTATAGGAAAACTATATTGAAAATGTAACTGGTGCGTTTGAATGTGTTTACAAATCCTCACACGTGACAGTACTCCTACATTATCACGGAAGCTTCTAGATAAAACACCTTTGTTAATTTAATTCCACGTCTGCGACGAATTATCTCGGTCTCGTTTATTCTACCTTTGAACAAAAAAAAAAACGAGCCAAACTAAACTTGAAACGAGCAGGAAACGCACCGCTGCAGCACAACAGACGCTCTTGAACGCAGCTCGCCTTTCCGCAGCGCAGCCCCTTGTTGCTAGGCAACCTGCACAGGAGATTGACAGCAACTTGGGTTGATTCAGTTGGAGGAAAACTTTGATATCGAGCAACTTTTATTTATTTATTTTTAATTATTTTAAGCGGGGCAGCTGCCACACAAAGGCCACGGGTAAGTTGATAGCCAGCCGCTTCTTTTTTTTTTTGGTCCCCTTCAACTTCCGCCAAGAAAAACAACCCCCCCAGCTCATTAATTTGTCATTAGCTAAGTTAATTAAACGTTCACTTAACGTTAGCTAAGAGCGCGACATCCGGAGATGAGTGAGGGTAACGTTAGCTAACGTCTGCTAACTTTCTCCCCCAAAGTTTAGGAGCAGGAAGAGTTAAAAAGTCGCTTGTGAACGTGTTAAAGTGACTGAAATATGAAGGAATATTTTCATTTTCTCCAGCTACAGATTGTAGTTTAGCTCAGACGACGCAGGTCAACTCTCCCTTTTTTTTCAACAGGGTGGGCAAAAAAAAAGTCGACGTGAAACTTCGGTGATAACACTGTTTAATCCCGTTTTGGAGAAGTTTGAGCGATGCCAGACGTCAAACCGCTCAGATTCCCATCCAGGGAAGGACGAGCCAGTCAGCAAGGTAAGAGGAGCAACTAGCTAGTTAGTTAGCCGTTAGCACCACAGGGGCACAAACACTAGCAGACAACGTTGATGCTGATTTTAGATAAATCATCCTCAAATATGCACTCATGGGCAGTTAAATTTATTGGAAAGTGAGCTTTAAATCTCAAACAGACACTGTCTATGGTGACTACACATCATTTTGTGCTTTTCAGCTGAGCATCCTGTTTAATGTAGGTGCTAGTTTTGTCTACATGTAGTCTTTCTATTCCACACACACACACACACACACACACACACACACACACACACACACACACACACACACACACAGAGCTGTTCAAACTGGACCACAGCCTGTATAATCATATTGATATTTAATGATGTTGAAGAAGAGTCACTACCTGATGTCTCTTGCGGCCCATCGGCCCCTCAGACTCACATGAACTGTGGCTGTAATACACCCTGCCAGTGTGATTTAGAGCTAATTCGGCCCACCACTGACATATTGCCTTCGCACCTTCCCACCCCACTTGGTTCTTTCGGAGTGGATTATTCATCTGAGCTGTTCGGCAGCAGATGGTCTTCATTTCAGTTTTCCCTTCAGTTCCTCTGACTCTGTTCTTGGCCCGAGTCAGCCCGGTCACTCGCCGCTCTACCAATTAAAGCGGCATCATGGCAAGAAAACTGCTCTCAGTCAGGTGGGGAGAGGTTCCAGATGTCGCTGTCTTTGCCTTTTTACTGAGACAAGTAGACAAACACCTTGAGGCCACACACCTTGTGTAACACGTACAGATGTTTTGCTGCTTGGTGCATATGGACCTTTATCCAGGGCTCACATGAACAGAAATGGAAATCCAGCCACGGTTTTCCCATCTACAGCTTGACCTTCCATTTCAACACAATACTCCTGTGCACTGAAGGGCTATGATAAAAAAGAAGATCTCACAGGGTCTCTGAAGGAGAAAAAGTTGCAGCCCAGAAGCTCTTTTGACCCCCTCAGACCTGGTTTGCTGACTCGACTTGACGGTGGATTACAACAGCCGAGTGATGCTCCTGCTGAGCACGGATCTAACCCAAAAGAGAGCGGAGATTTGTTTTTTATTCCTCTTCAACAAGTTGGACCTTGTGACTGTTCGTTTAGCACGCACCAATTGCTAAACACAAAACAGAGTCACCCAGTCATTCAGTCTACCTCAGAAGCAAACCACAATGTTGGCAAATGTTGATGAGTGGTCGCTGAAGCCGTTGCTATGTTTTATATACGGTACTGTGCAAATAAACTAAGGATACTTTAAGAAATATTAATAGACTTTTCAATTCATCTCATATAAATCGCAGTAAATGGAGAAAACCAAATGTATGTTAGGTGTGACCAATTCTTTCAAACTTCTAAACAGCACCAGATTTCCTTCGTACACTTGCACAAGGTTTGCTGAATCTTGGAGAATCTGCCACTTCTATCGATCGAGGCGGTCTCAGTGTCTTTTGTCTTTTCATTTAATCCCAGACTCACTCGATCATGTTGAAATCAGGTCTCTGTGGGGGGTGCCGGACTCCTTGTTCTTCCCGTCACTGAAAATAGTGACTCTGACTGTATGTTTGGGGTAGTTGCTGTAGAATTGGTTATCGTGTGATGGATAAAGTTCTCAAAAACCCAAAGCGCCTAAAATGTTTGCATCGTATATATTTCATCATCTTGCTCGTGTCAGTTTAGACGAATAAAGTCAAAAAAAAAGTTGACCTTAATGAAATAAAGGAAAATAAATGAAATAAAACAAATGTTATCCTCATGAGTAAACATTACAGAAATATATATATATAATTTTCTGAAATGTCCGATAGCATTTCTTCTATTAGCAGTTGGCATTTAAGAGATCGCTGCAGCGTCGTTGCACAAGTGCAGAAGGATTTGAGATTTAGTTTCACATACATACAAATGATTTTACCTCTGTTTTGATCCAAACCTCCCACATGATTATCAAGGCCACACTTCAGAGTTCTGAGTAGGAGTGTAACACACAGGATTTATGCTAAATCATCTTTGTACCTATATATGTATTTTTTTTTTGGCAAATACCTGTTATTCTACAAAGCCTGGGCTTGTCAAGGTACTTTGTGACTGAATTCAAAGCAATATCTGTTGTACAATTTGCCATATGGTCAAAAGTAAAAAGCATAAAATGATTATTTGTTAATAACACCACTTTGCTCGTCCTGAATGTGAAGTAGTTTCATCAAAACAAACAGTTTTTCTCAGACGTTCATGTGTACCTGTATGAACTGCACCACATGTGACGTTTCCCTTTTTTGCAGCCAGATGGCGTCCTTTCACCACTAAGAATTGTGCCCTTGGGTTTGTCTGGAGACTCTCAAAAATTAGCTGTCTCTGTTCTCTCACTGATGCTTCCAGCATTTTGCAGTCTGTGCAACTAGAATCAAAGTGCAAGTAAAGAACCACAGAGCATCTTTCACAGCCAAATACATTTTAGTAATTACTTTTCCAAAATATAATTAATGAAGCCGGGTTAGTGCTCGCTACAACTAAACTCTGTTCTTTTGTGATATATGTATATTTTGTTTATTATCATCATCATGTTGTTGGGTTTTAATGGCTGCTTTGCTGTTGTGTAGAGATTATAGGTGAGGTTGGTTTTTCACTGACTGTTATACATGAGGGGGGAAAAAAAGGATTTAAGCAAAGTTCACAGATCTTCATGTTTTGTCTGTCTCGAGATCAAGCAGATCAAGCAGAGCTTCAGACCGTCTGCTCTGGTAGACGTCGCACTTGTGCTCTGCTCAACAGTCCCTCACCATGTGTCAACAGTGCTATTTACCACATCCAAGAGATGAAGCTGACAGTGGAGAACTGGTGTCAACAGGTAAACTAATGCCATTTGTGTTCAGACTTGTGAGGGATTGCAACACACATTTCCTGATAAGTGTAAAAAAAAAGATGTTTGAAAACACATTTCCGCCCTGTTTTCATGTACCAGCCTGGAAAATATCAACCACAGATCGACCAGGTCAAGCACCGATACAACAAAACTTTAAGGTGAGGTATTTGTTGTCTAATCCTGTATGTGTTTGTTATGTTCAGTATTAAATGTAACACACTCTTTGATGACAGGTTTCAGTCCAGATACTCAGATTCTGAATCCGTGATGTCTACGGAGCAGTACGTTCAAGGCATCGCAATTGGCGTGAGAGGTAAACACGATTTGTTTTCACACAACATAAAATCATTTCTACAGCATCTTCTCTTATTTCTGTACCGCCATAGAACATTGTCCCCACAGTTCACATGCAGAAAACAGCAGCAGTGCCTGGAGTGCATGTCCTTGGTGAAGTTCTCAGCTCAGATGTTACTGACTCACACCTATTGTCCCCATAATAAATAATTACATGCTATAAAATATGAACTTGTGCTAATAAAATGTTACGGATGCTGTTGCTGTTGGTTACAGTGTGTTAGCATAGCTTTGCAAAAAAATTAATGTACCTATGTTGTGTTCATTGGGTTGAAAATGATGCAGCACAAAGCGCCAATCTTGTAAAATTTTTCCATCCTTTAGAAAGCTGTCCATTATCGCCACTGCTGAAGAAAATAAACGATGCCATCCGTGATGCTGTGTACCTGATCGAGAGGTTGGAGGCTGATCGGCAGGCTACAGAGGAGGCTCTCCACAAAGAGAAGAGAAGAGGAAGGTTTTTGGAGAACGAAGTTCACAGTGTTTCACTGTGGAAGCAAAAAGAGCACGCTTTGGTCGTCCAGAAAGGTCAGTGCCTACGAGGTGCCACGTCCTCGTGATTATTTATTTCCTGCGAAGTAGTACGATTTTGTTGTCCTTTGATTCAGTGAAGAAACTTGTCAATTCATTTTGGACGCTGGTCTTTCCCCAGAGCACGAGGCTTGCGTTAGAGACATCACCAAGCTGAAGCGGAAGCTCAAAGTGGAAAGAGAGAAACTTGACCTCGTCCAGGAGAAGCTGACACACACCGAGGTGCTGAACCAGAACGTGCACGAAGAAATCAACTTCTCCAGAAAACAAGTTCCCCTCATGAGGGAGCACCTGGATCTACAGAGAGATGCCATTAATCAGATCAACGCTGCACTAGCAGAGGTAATAATTTGACCAACTCTGTTATCAAGATTGTATTTTTAAACTCACAACATCTGCACGTTTTAAAGAGTTTAAAGGTTGAAAGGGGGAAGAATTGTGTAGCGTGTTTTGAAACCTGCTAACATGTGATAGTTCAGCTACAAGATGCAGTGATTTAGTTAAATCTTATTTTGAACCATGCTTTTTACTTTATACTAGAAAATGATGAATAACTTTCAACTTTTGATGATTTTATTGATAAGCTGTATTCGCTGGAACTTGGTTTGGCTGTAGTTCTAACATATCGGTGCTTTTTGGTGAATTGTATACGATTACATTTTTATAGAACCACGCTAAAATTACCACCAGATAAGGTTAGTTTTCTTCAAGTTCCTCCCTCAAACATTCACCCAGTTGCTCTTGTTTAGCTCTCTTTGTAAGTCACGTGTGGCACGGCACTCGGGACTGCATTGTTTGTTCATGTATTAGTCCGCTGTTCCTTTGACTCTTTGGTCGAGTGTAAACTCTGTTTTAACAATTGACTGGATTTCCATTAAATGTGGTGCAAATGTTCGCGGTCCCCAGAGGATGAATCCTAATAACTTCAATAATTTTTCATTTAGCTTTTCTTAATCTCTTTAGTTTATGACGGGACGCATTAAAAAGACCAAATTCAGTCTTAGTGGCGCCTTTAGCTTCATGTTTACATGCAAATGTGGTGTGAAAGCGTCGCAGCAGGTCGACGAGTGATCGGTGGGAGACGTAAGGCAACAGGTCAACTTGGACTCAGTGCAGCTGCATGTTTGCTAGAAGGAGCACCAGGCCGACTCGAGTGAAAGAGAAACAAATGAAATGTTGGTTTTTAATCACATTTCAACAAGTCATTGGTTGTTCTGAGGATGTTATCCCTGAGTAAACCCCGATATTCAAGTGTCTGGAAACTTTAATACCAGGCTTACCGAAAGCACAGGGTTAATACCTAGCCTTGGGCTTTCTGCATTTTCTAAGATTTGACTACAGCGAGGAAAATAAAAGCCCTTGTAGTGTGAAGTCACTGTGCTGCTCGTGGGTTACTATAAGAGTCAGAATATTTAGTGTCGGCGTGGTATGGTTTAAGAACAGACTGCTGTGTCTTCTTTTATATTAACAGTTTCATAATAATACCAGAGGAAAACCGTACGCCCACGACACCTGCTCTTTTATTTTTTTCAGGCTGATGAAGTTTGCTCAAAAACACAGAGCGATCTCACACTGGTCAGGAAGGAGTTAAAAAAGATGGAGCTGGATGCCAACAATGAAAAGATATCTGCAGACCATGTACTGTTGGCGATGAAGAATCAGCTGGCAGAGAGACTGTGAGTATCTGTTGAAATGTTGTGAAAACAAATGGCTTCACCATCAAAGAAGTACAACTGAGACGTCAGGCGACATCTTTCAGAAACAGCTTGAGCAGCTTTCATCGGCTCCTCGTAAAAATGACGAGTTAAATCAGTAGTTAGGAGGGAGCCATGCTTCATTCTTGTGTTTTTTTTCACAAGAGCCTCAGGTTTTCATGTAAAACAAAAAAGTCAAATGTCTTCTTCCTCGCGGCCACACACTGTAAACATCCCATCATATGCAATCCTCACGTTTGACTTTCATCTTACACCACGTCAATGTAAAACACTTTGAACACCTTCTGTTAAAATCACATAACAGGACAATTTAACAGGTTCTATTTCGGTGCACAAGCCAAGGTATACTGAACCGTATGTAACCATAGCAACAATACTTCTGATTGATGCTGCGTTACCGCCGTTATCTCTCATCGTAACAGACCTAAGCATTTGTTAAAATGACCACAAAGAAACTTGAGATGTGCTACACAAAGAAGATGGACTTATTTCAACATTAAATAAATAACACATTCAATAAAGAGTCTTGATTCCTTGAAAATAACCACATAACTGTTTTTTTTTTCTTTCTTTCTTCAGGGAAGATTTGAACCAGTTGAAGATGATTGAGAAAAGTCTGTGTGCTGAAACAAAGGATGCCGAAAAGAGCATCGCTCTCACAGAGGAAAAGTGCGCACTTATAACTCAGCGCGTCCCTGAAATGATGGATCTTGAGAAAACTGAAAGAGACAGGGTAACTCGTACTGCTCTCAGTTTTTAGAAAGGTGAGCTTTCATTAGCACATGCAAATAATTCAATTCTTTTATTACAGCTGTCACAACTGAATCTTCAAATTGAGGATAAAATGCTAAAGAATAGGAAATTAAAGGAAGAACTAATTGCACGACAAGAAGACATTGAGAGAGCTGTAAGTTAAAAACTACAAAACCACAGCTGAACTCTGACTGGAGTTACATATGCTAACAATGCTGGAGGCGAATGACGTGCTGTGTGTTATGTTATCCACAGAAACTTAATGGGGAAGCACAAGTGTCCTGCGTGGAAGAGCAGCTCCAATCAAAACTTAAGACTTTTGCAGCTCTCCGTAAAGAAAGAATGGAGTACGAACAGAACGTAGAAGACCACAAGACGAAAATTCGCGAGAGGTATCGTGTCAAAGCTGAAACAGTGAAGGAACACCAAGCGTCTCCCTGTCACCGCTTTGTATAGTAGACAACTTACGTCTGTTTACCGTTTCTTTACTGTTTTTGTGTTAGCGAGAAAGCGGTGAAGCAGATGCGTGAGGAGAGGAAGCAGATGCTCCAGAAAATTACTGACAATGACGATCTGTGGGAAAAGGCCAAGGAGGAAGTGACTCAAGTTGTAGCCCGGCACAGCGTCACTCTGACTAAGCTGGAAGAACAGAAGCAGCTTACCTCCACGGAAGAACAGAGGGCCAGGGTCAGCGACGACATATGTGCATCTTCTGTGTACACTTCATGGCTCTCAGCGTATAAGGAAAGCGTGAGACGACAAAAGCTTTCTCCAGCGTTACTCTGTGTTCTTTCTGTGCTCCACAGAAAGAGATTGACAACTTGAGGAACGATCTGACGGGTCACACGACTGCCCTGGAACTGCTAAAGGTAATTTCACGAGGCGCCTCAGATTCTTCACTCAGACAGAGTATTTTTTATTTTATTTATTTAGTTTTTTTACTGGAAAAAATGTAGCCGGATCGCTAAAGTTAAGTTCAATTTAAATCTTCAAAATATATTACTGTTTGCAAACTTTTGCCGCTTATATGGAGCGACTGCATAAAGATATGTTGTTAGGAAAAACTAGATAAACTAGAGTCTCAATAAGAATTAAACATTATGGTTTTATAAATGTTTATTTTAAATAAACTGCTGTATTGACCTGCATAGTTCTGTGTATTTGTGTTATTTTACCTTTCGTGCATGTTTTGGGAAAATAGCATCTTCCTTGTATTTTTCTTTTTTTTTTCTTTCTTTCTTTCTTTTTTTTTTTATCAGACTCGGTGTGCAAATGTCAATGAAGAACTGAAACAGCAGCAAAGGAGTTCGGAGCTAACCAACCAACAGCTTCAGAAAGAATTTGAAGATGCATCCTCAGCAGCAAAAGCACTCGAGACAAAAATTGAGGTACAGACCTGATGACTGTTCCTTTTAGTCCCGAGATGACTTTACATCAAAAAGACAGCAATTTGTAAAGGAACGCTTTATGAAGTTCATGTCAACTGCCTCTGTGATTGATTTTTGGTTGGTATAGAAAGTCAAGAAACTGACGGAAAATCTGGAACAGATTCAGTGTGAACACAGGAAGACGTTAGTCAACCTTGAAGAGGAGAAAAAACTCAAACGTGAGCACCTGAAGGCCGCTCAGGTAAGAAAGTTGAACAAGATGCTAGGTCAGGTCAGTAAAACTCACTGAGCACGAAGCTAGTCGCAGCTATTCATCAAGTCGTTCTTTTGTTGAACAAAATAATCTTTTTAAGTGTTTTCCAGACAGTTTATTTATATATTAACATCACTCTTTGTTTGCAGGATTTACACACTTCAACTATGAAGAGATACGACGACGCTCTGAGCACGATCAGCGACCTGACGAAGAAAACCAAAGAGTGCCGAGATTCTTCACATGAAATGGAAGAAACTGCTGAAAGCATGCAAGAAGTCATAGCAGAACTTGAGTGAGTTAGTTATCTGCTGCAAACAATCTAATAGTTGTTACTCCGTTTACACTAATTACAGTAAAGAAAGGAATCTTGTTAGTGATGCACAACAATGAATTTCCGCCTATATGTCAATATTTTTCCGCTCGTTTTGGCTTGCCGATGCATGAATGTTTTCCAATTAATGGCAGAAAACATCAAGTCTTTCCTGTAGTGAAATTAGAATTTTTTTTTTTCCTGGCTCAGAACGGGCGTTTGGGGGTCGACTACGCATGACAGTAAGCATGAGCGGTCTGCGTACAGTAAAGGAAATTAGTCTGGGTTATCTTATTTGACAGAAATCTATGGATTTTCCTGCTATTTTTTATTTTATTTTTTTAACCATTTGATTAACGACACTCCAACTTGTTAAAAAATTGAATTGCAATTTTAGTTTGCAATTAATTTTATGGTGCAGACATAAAATACAACAAAAAATAAGACGACTGCGCGTTAAAGACGGCATATTTCTTTTTATAACAAACAGCATTGTCACAAAATTGTCAACTTTTAGCTTGATATGTCCTTTTAACGCTTTTATCTGCCAACATCATTGTGCATGCCTACATTTTCTTATTGCATAATTCTATTGATCACCGGCTGGCTTGCTCAAGAGATGCAAAACCTGTTTGCTATTATTTAAATACACAAATAAAAACACCGCCCCCCTCCCTTTTTTTTTTAAAGGAAGAAAGAACTGCAATTATTTAGAGGCATAATATCATTTATGTGTTTGTTTTCTCCTTCCAGAAAGGATATTGATGTGTTGGAGTTCAAAAACAAATCAGCTGCCCTCATAATGAGCACCTTGCAGTCTGATATTAATAACTGCCAACAACGAACACAGCGTTCCATGCAGACGCACACTGCTCATGTTACAGCAAGAAAAAAGCAAATGAAAGACAGCAAGGTAAGAAGAAGAAGAAGAAGAAAAAAAAGAGAGCAGCGTTTAACAATAACTCTCTATAAATACATGACTTTTTGTGTCAAATACTGTGAAATCAGGAACAAGCTGTAAAAAAAAAAACATCTCATTGTTTATTTGTTTGTGGATTAGTGTCAGCACATTGCTTGTCACAATACTTCCCTTAAGATACAGAGAAAAGAGCTGTGTGCAATTAAAATTACAAGCCATGGTCAATCTCGTTTAAGTGCTTTTCCCACAAATGACAACTCACTGTTGTTATAGTCTTTTGTCTGGACGAATTTGATGATGCATGTCGTGGTGAGACGCTGTGCCTGTTCTCTTACCTGTAGGCCAACGTTTTCAATAGCAGCTTCAATGTAAGTATGCAGCTCATATATCAAATAAGCATACAATCTGCACTTCTGTTTTTCTTTTTTTTATTTCCGTGTGATAAAAACAGGCTGTGGTGAAAACACGGATCTGCTGTGCACAAAACGGCACGCATTTGAACACTCCTTTGTAAGAGAAACCCCTATTTATTGTAAGGTTTTCATCTGCAGGATTATCAGCCCCTGCCAGAGCCTCTTTGCTGATGGGGGTTTCACATGGCTTATCTAATGTGAAATCGCCATGTGGTATATAGTTTCATTAAACGGTGATCAAGAATGCATTAGTTCAAAACAAGAAAAGGCAATGGAGCTTAAGCCGCCATGCATCCAAGTGCAGCAACTTTAAAGAAGTTGTTGGCGTGAGACAATTTAAGAATTAGAAGTCTTCCTCATAGACACAACTCCCATTAGCCAGATAAAAGTTAGCCATGCAAAAAAGGGTTTAGTCTTTTTCACTTGACGAAATAAGATGATATAACAACAATACTCCTCACCAAATAAAAATATCACAGAGAGCCTGAACTTGTAGGGAAATTGGTCACTTTAATCACGGGGACCGATATAAAGCACACGTAATGTCTGCATTAGCATAACATAATAAGCAGAGTGTGCATTCAGAAGTCACAGTGCATGAAGCAGAATGTTAGACACCTTCAAGTATGAGATTTCTTATAAATATGCTGGCCCCAGCTCCTCCTCTCGACATAATCTGTTGTAGGTCAGTGGTACTGGGAGTTCTATGTGGATGCGGTTGTTGTTAAAGATGCCTAAAACCAGGGTGTCTTAAGGTGAAACGCTTCGACTTGCCAGGAATCCGTGGTGATCTCTATTCAGCCGTACACATCGCAGAGGATTCCAGCTTTCAGACATGCACCTATTTTTTTGATTTGATCAGGGCTTGTCGTTTGGCGAGGACAAAGTAAACAATGCAAACTGCCGACGCTATCAGTTTCTTATGGGCAATGAAGTGTAATTTGTTCCATTTACACTTCACAACAGCATCAGATGGGCTTTGTCAGTGCTGCATGGAGTAATTAAACCTGAAATCAATAGCAGGCATTTGTCATGTTTACAGCCCCTCTTTCTGCTGGGTTAAACTCATCACTTTAGTGCTGTTCTGTTTTACTGCAGAGACACACTTCATTATGTCTGCAGGTAGAGTTGAGATATTCACACATCCCCTTATCCAGTACTCGAGGAACATTGTTCAAATGAAAAAGGGACATGCAGAGAGACACATACTCAGTGTGATTTATTTGCTTGATTTCCCAGAAAAGTGTCCTTTGTTGTATGCCTTCTATTTATATTGCCTTATTGAGCAGTGTGCTTTTATTGTGTCCTATGCACACACAGCAGGTCAGTGGCGCCGCTGGTATTTTTTTTTTAATGGTCATTGTGGTGTGTTGGATCTCCAATTCTGTTTATAAAATCTCATCTGTACATGGCTAATTGTGAGTGATGAAAACACATTGATTATGTATTTCCCATCCGTACAGATCATCGTGCTGCCTCCAAACACATTGGTAAAATGGTCAAGCCTTTACTGAACTGTTCCTGTTACTGGCCTAATTGTAAAATCTTCATTTAACCGTGAGACGTTCCTGGTTGCAGTCCTTCAGTGTGTTGGTGACAGTCACAGGCGCACCACTCAGACACACCAGACTGGTATCAGCGCTGATAGCAGTCTTATTAATCAGATCAGGTATCGACTATGATGTGACTAAGCCACATGAAATATGGTTTCTTCGTCAGTGCCATGGCAGAATTCAGAGTTTCTTCTATCAGGGACATTCATTCATTCATTCATTTATAGCAGGCTACCTCAAAATGTTGCAATAATCCTGAGTCTCATGCTGCCTTGTGTAAAGATGAATGCTGCAAGTTCAATGCAATGAGATATGCAGGCTGAAATTTTTTGGGGAAAAGAAAAAACAGTCGTGATCAGTTCCCAACGTTGACAAATATTGTGAACTGATGTCCCAGAATCAGTACTGGGAGGTTCGAAGTTAGATGAGTGCAGCAGTGCAGGTATGTCACACTTATAATAGTTACTGGTCTGCAGCCAAGTTTGCACTCGATTGTCTCTCAGTGGCTGTTTAATAGCTAATGTAAGCCTAATATTTACCTTTACTGTCTAACCCCAACTTTACGTTTTTGCTTCCATGTGCGTGTAGGAAGCACTAAAAGACGCACTGGAGGAGAACAGACAGCTGGCAAGCAAATATGAAGGTCTTCAGATGTCCCTCATGGAGGCCAAACAGGAGTCAGTGTCCGCATTGAGCAAGAGAAACCACGCACATCAGTCTTTTCATGATTACACGCAGGTACGGTTTATATAACCTTTGCTTGAGTTGACTATCTCTTCCTCTCCCTCTCTTTTTAATTATGTCTCATGACTTAAAAATCTGTGCTGTTGTCTTGTGCTCCCTCCTGGTTCATTTTGTGGTATTCCTCTTTGCATGGGCAGTAATTCTAAGAAGGTTTTAGTCGGGCAACCAGCGAGGAGGTTGCTGCAGCGATCTAATAATGAGAAGATAACTTGAGTGGAGGAGGATGATGGATGTGACATAATGTAATGATAGCTATGTAGTTTTGCCACCAAGGGGAGTGAAGCAAGAGGTGGCTGGTACATGTGCTGTAAATACCACAACTTCTGCATTTTCACTGATTGCAGGTTTGCAAGGCGGTCAGAGGTGAAATGTTTTATCATTGCCGTGTTGCAAATGTTCAGTCGGTACAGAATCAGCAGGGAACAGGATCGAACAGTGAGTGTGCCTTCAGAGCTAAAATAGCACCAGAGATCTTGACTAGTTGAGGGAGACAACTCAGCAGCATTTTACTGTTTAATCTTTATAGTTTTTGACACTATTTAACTGGAATAGAATTACACACGACAACCATAACACCAGGAAGAAGCCACACTGCTCCTGCAATGAAAAATACATATTATTTGTTCCAAAAATGACTAATACCTTTACTTGAGCAATTCCTCATCTAACTGCATGAATGTTATCAAGTGAAAAATGCATGCAAAAATAAAATCCTGTGGACAGGATTTTCCACGCTCATGATCAAAGCCTGATTTTCTTTTACTCCGGATTCCGCCTTCACCATTTTTGTTTGTTTCAACTCCACACTTCTACAACAGCAGCCTCTCGGCTAGTGTTTTATGCTTAAATTCATTTATTTATAACAAGCTTATAATCAGCCAGGTTTTCTGAAATGTAGATGTTGTCCTATCGCATTTAATCTGATTTACACAGGAGCATTCGACTGCACTTCTTTCCTGTTTTAAATTTCCAATTATCCTTATAATGTTTGCATATTATGTCCTAGTTAGTACATATATTACACAATGCGATTGCTCTTAATTGATTTGTTTATAACTGGAGGCAACAAGGTAAATGCATTTAACATTGTCGGGATCATTTGAGAGATCAGAACATTAGTGCATGTGTGTGGGATGGCTTGCACCACTCATTTGTGCATTTGGAGAGCCCATAATCCCTTTTATTATATTCAACTGAGGGGCACAATGAAACCCATCTCTTAGGTATCATTGAAATATAATCTTGACAGCAGAGCACCCTTGACATAGAGTTCAAGTGACAAGCTTAAAACAACCTTCAGTGTGATTTCCAGACAGCTACTGTGCAACACTAAATGCCCTAAATATATACTGACACGTCGCACAAACGTACAAAAAAGATCTCTGTTATGTTTTCAGGTGTGAGATTACTTGTGTTATAAATATACGTCCTGCCTTGTTTATCCAAAGCCACGCAGACGGCATCAAAACAAGGAAACACGACGACAAAGAATACTTGTAATTTAAACTTTTCTAAACCTTTGCAGCTCTTATGTAATATTCAGTGTTAAAATTCAGCATCGTCACAACACAAACACAATATACTTTAAACTACAACTAAGATGTGAAGCATGTAGATTCTCTCTTGTTGTTTTATACTGAGTGACCATGTGACAGCGGCGCCATGTAACTGAGTACACGTCGCACTGTACTCGAGTACAAATTTGACGCCACCGTGCTTTATGTTAGTGCTTTTATTTTAACCTGATTTGATTTTAGTTTACTAGTTGCTAACAGAAAGACATTTTGCAAACAAAACATATGATTATTTGCACAAAATATAACGCACACTTTTTGATTTCATGCACTAGAAAGTGTAAAATTGTTTAACTTTTAACTTCTTTTAAATGCATTTTTGTATTACTACTTTTGCTAAAGTAAAGGATCTTGATAATTTGTCCACCACTATTATTAGTAGCATATTATCCTTTTACTTTATATGAATATAGAACGAATAAATCAATTAATTAAACAGCCATCATAGTATAAACTGTGGAGCATCATTCGGTTCACAAACATGCTGTTTTTTGCGACATTCCATGATAACAGGTGGCAAAAGGGAACATAATGTAAAGTATATAACTTATTACAGACTGCAGCTTTATTGTGCATGTATTTTAGATACAGATTATTTAACCTGAGAGTCTATTTCAGCCACACAGCTCAAAGTGTTGCACATCTTGTGGTATAAAAAGATAAACAATATTCTATTTATTAATCGACCAATCAGGACACATATTAAGCAGTTTATCAGATATTAGTGTCAGTAATTTATGTTTTAAAGAGAGGATTCAGTTATGTTCAATGCATTTGCTTTAGAATATTTATCAAACAAGTACAAATACACTCATATGTGCAACATTCCTATTTGTAAGGGAAAATACACGTGATTAATTAGCATCTGATAGCATTTGCCAGTATGTGCCTCTTATCAAAATCCTTTTGAATCTACTGTACATGTAAGCGTTGCTTTGTTTATATGGAGGCTTTCAGCTCTCGGGTTTTAACAGGGTACACCATAAAGAGCATTCTTGTTATTGTCTTTCCTTCAGGAGCTGATGACTGAGCTAATTCGCTTTAGTTTTCAATGCACTGGGGAACACATTGCCAAGCAATGATAAGCTTTGTAGGAAGAGTAGAGAGATGGAGGGGGAAGAAAAGCAATGGCATCTATCAGAATTTAAACCTCTTTGCTTGAAACTGTGTTCAAATAATAAAGCAAGCAGCATGTCTTTCCAAGAGACTAGGAATAATTTCTGGTTTCAGTGGGGGGTTCATGACTCTGTGTGTATGTGTAAAATATGTCTTGAGGGGATTGGTATAAAGTTAAACTGGGTGAAGTAGAAATATTTTACTCATCAGCTTTGCAGTCACAGAGTTTGCCTCGGCTAGAACAAAACTGCTGAAGCATTTAGAGAAAATTAACCCCCCATCCTGGCAGCCAGATGTGACTGGATTCTGATGAGTGCACACGAGTGGGCAGAGAAACCAAGAGACTGTGAAATTCCTGTCAGGCCCGTGTACTGCAGAATGGGCTATTGACTGCTTTCTCTATTCCCCTCCATCATTCTTCTTGAACACTGCCATTAATTTCCTCTCCTGCCTTACCAATTCCTTTTCTCTGCCTTCTCTCCCCCTAGCTCTCTTTGTTGCAGAAGAGGATGCACAAAGCTTTGGTGAAATACTCCGAACAACGCAGCCTCTACAGCCAGGCTGAACTGGACCGGTGCCAGGCTCTCTCTCAAGAGACCGACCAGAAAATAAAAACAGCCCAGGTATTTGTACATATACATGTAAAACAGGCTGGAAAGCTGCACCAGACTGTCGCCATTCATTTAAATGGCAAATCCCTTTATTAAACTTTCATCCCAGTCTAGGTATTCTACTGGATGGCAGCATATTCTTTTGCATACTACAGTAACTCCATGTTATGCTTGGCATTGTTTGAGCCTCATCCGGCTAGTCGGTTGCCTTGTGTCTTCTTTGCCAAGCAAGAGCAGCCAGGCAAATACCCACCAAGGCTTTGTGCCTCGCCGCTACGGCGGAGTTAAAGACGCCATTCTTACATTACAGTCTATACATTCACTCATCAGATCGCAGACTGATGTGATGGATGATGTGTGTGCTACAGTGCCTATTGACTGACCCTGTGTCTCAGGCTAGCTCTGCCTCTCCAGATAGCTCTGCATGTGCACTTTGTGTCCGGTCACGTAACAATAACTGTATAGTCGGGTTGTTTTCGATTCTCACAGCTAATTCAGAGTTGATCATAGCACACGGGAGGCATCCGCGTGTTCCAGCTTCTTCTTTGTGAATCGAATAACCTTCTGTCTGTCTTGCAGAAGAGTAGGAGCATATTCTGCAAGGTTGAAAAGTAAGGATCTTCAATTAGAGGATAATCGGTGTCTAATCTGTGCTGTGATGTGCGATGAGGTCAAAGCGGACAGAGGGACAGTGATGAATCTTTATGAAATGTCCTGTCCAGCATTACCGCAGAGCCAGGTGGCATGCAACCATACTATGAACTACTTTTTACTTTCTCTGCACCTCAACAGGAGGACATCCCACATCCATACGCAGCCATGTTTGTCGTCAGGTTTGTGTAAAATTCCTGTTTTGATTTGTTGGTTAATTTGATCCAAATTCAACTTCGTCAGACACGCTGGAGGCAAAATATGCCTAAATTTGATTAGAGGTTTTCCAGGGGAGTACCTAGTGAAAATGCTATTAAGTGGTTTCCTTCTCAGTTCCTCCTCCTCTGACTGCTGACATGTTTTTTTGATGGGTCTGGTCCAGACATTACAGGGAGCAGCCATGTCTCAGCGGCCCAGCCTCAAAAGGCCCCAGCAGATCACAGCTCAAGGCAGGGAGGAGTGGGGCACAGGGGGAGGAGCTATCAGGGAGCTGCAGAGTGTGAAGGACAAAAGAGCTGGTGTATTCAAGCGCACCACACCGTCACCCGTCACAGCTCAGCACAGGGTCCATCAGAGCAGGCAGTACTCACTTTAAACAGGCTCCTGATGAAGAGTCCAGCTCAGGGTCTATCCTCCAAAAAGTACACACGGAGAAAAGCACTTACGGTTTAAAGAGAAAACCTTAATGTGTCTATGAACAGGCACAAATACGCCGTCTGCATGATTACCTAAATATTAAACCCTTGACTGAGAGCTGAGAAATGCAGTACGGACGTGGTGATAATGCGGTGCGTATTTTTGACAGCGTCAGAGCTAAATACAGAGCCTCCACGAACAAGCGCATGATACACAGGTTATCAGAATCGGTTGCCAGTTTATGAGACAGAAATGAATGTATCAATAGAACTGATACCGGTTGCAACTGGAGTTAAACCGGGCTGAGTCCTGATGAGGCCTGTACTAATCCATCATGTCCACTTAACCCCACAAGCAGAACATAAGAGAGGTCAGGTAAGCGCTTTCGCAGCTAAAGTGCTCGAATCGGAAGCCAAATGGCAGTTTGCTCAAAAGTAGCTTGAGGGAAGTAAGGCCGGGGGAACCCTAGGGTGGGCGGGTGGGAGTGGGTGGGGGTAGGAGCTGGGGGGGAGGAGGCGGCAGGCTGTCATCCTGTTACACTCCTGCCAGAACTGGCAGTTCAGCTTTGTGTTCTGCGAGTTTACACTAGGGATGGCATAATTGACAATGGCTAACAGCGGAGAGCAGTGCAGAGCCTTGTTGAATGGCCAGTAATGATTGGAGCAGACGCCCACTGCCCCAGTCCCAGGGGACAGTAATCCAAGATCCTGTTTCTGATATAATTGTTAGTCAGAGAATTTCTGCATGGCTAGGCTGGTTCAGATTCCCAAGCTGGTTGACAGTGCCAGGCAGTTTAATAGAAAAACTGGATGCTGAGGTTTTTAAAACATAAGAGCACTGAACCTGGACGTGGTTCACCAGGAGCGTCTTGTTCTCCTTCCCCACAAAAATAAGAACGAGAGGGTAACTTTACTCTCACAGTTGTAGACTCATCAGTTGTGTGTGAGATGCGCACAGAGCCCAGACTTAGCACGAGTGCCTTATGCAAAAACAGCATTCTCTTAATTAGCCTGTTTTCATTTATGCTGTTTGTCTCGTATTCCAACAGGAGGGGTTGTCAGAAGAAATTCAGCTCATCTCAGCGCTCCTACAATCCTTGACAGATGACTCTACTACTACCGATGATGCTGGGGTGAACAAACAAGCCAGTCCAGATGCTGCTGGATCGAATGAGTAGATGCCTGCAGTTCAAACAGCAGTGTAATTGGACATTCACCTGTACCAGACAACTTACTTACCCTAGCACGCTTCAGTATTCCCCCCCTCTTTACTTGCAGCAAATCCATAACAATGAAACAGGTGACTTTCATGCTGCTGTCAGGACTGATCTAATTTTAGCTGGGTGAATGATTGCAATTGGCTTTGCCTCATCAGATAATTAATCTATGTCACCATTAATTGGAAAAGAGAATAATTACAGGCAGTGTTGACAGAAATTCTACGCTTCTCCAGATTCCAAGATCTAATTACAACTAGTGAAACCCCGTGACCTTAACTAGCACTTAGTGCACCTTGGCCACCTTGACCATGCCCATGTGAAGACCAGTGTCTCTGGAAAGACCCTGTTTTTGTTGCATGGCGCCCCGCACTCCTCCACCGTCGTCACTCTCTGAAAGCTGTCTCCCTCAATCACTTTTCAATATTCAATCTTAATTTTGTGGAAGTTTAGCATTTTCAATGAGCTGGAGATGAATGATTAATGAATAAATTTAAATGCTTCATTTTGTCCATGGATCATTAGTTAAGTCCTTTGTGGGAAGGACCTGAGAAAGGAGTGAAAATTATTGAGACATTAGCCTGGAGCAATCCAGGGGTAAATAGTGTGCACAAAAGGATGTTGTGTGCGCACTATCCAGTGACTTTCTAAAAAACCCTGGGGAAACACTGTTTTCAATTTGGAATCTTAACTGAATCACATTTAGTACTTGTAGAAAATTGATTTTTGTTTCATCATGTTTAAACAATGTCACACTGATGGTACACAACGCCACGTCTGCTCCGTGTAGACTTTAAAAGTTACGCAGAAAGGTTTCTAGATTTTTAAAACAGATGCCCTAAACATGATCACATCCTTTAACCATGAGAATTTCTACCAAAAAAAAAAACAATGGAAAGAAGTAAATAACTACGTTCTCGTTTTTTTTCCCTGGAAATGCTTAAATGCTGCTGATAATCTTTGCAATAATAGTGAAGGTCAATTTGCTGCTTGGAAATACGCTGCTTCTGTCTGTGTTGATAGAAATGCTGTTGCTTTGTTGATGCCTCCCCCGACTAGTGGGGACAGAAGGGGGCAGTGTGGACACAACAACCTTGGAAAGATCACTGACTGCAACATGGGCCAGTTTAGTGTCTGAACAGTTACCGTAGTGTTTCGTCTCAAACTGATGCCATTCAGCCAAGTGGAGTATTAATGAATTAATCACAACTGTAGCAGAATTTAAAGCTTTATAGTGTATTGTACATGCAAAAAAAAAAGTACTTTAGGGAAGTTTTCTTATGTAGATTTTGAACTTAGATGCCATCGTACAGCCACAAACATACAAAACATTCAGCATAATGACACTAATGCGGTCGACTGCTCGCAAAGCAACGGCGGCTCCCCAAAAGCACCTTGAAGAGAAAAATGTTCAGTCCATCTCATATTCTTTACTGACTGTACGGCAATATCTCAAACCAAAGTGCCTCTCAAACGCATTTATCTACTCTGCTCGCATCTAATCAATCCCCTAAATAAATGAAAGTGAGCCACAACTAGATGTCATCACATTTATCTGCAGGCGTGCCTCAAAGTGCACACACCTAAATGCTGCTGCTCTGACGAGGGTGGACTGAGGAAATACTAATGGGAGTAGTTGACAGCTGAGACGCATCTTCTTCATGTTTGATGCTTGTTTCGGTATGATGAGGATAAAATACACAGCACACACCTCGCTGTGTATTCTGTGATACGTCAAAGCCGGTTCAGAAGATTTTTTTTTTCCTTTTTTGTTGCCTTTTTTGTAGTTTTGTATAAAAGCATATTTTGCCAGAGACATGTTGGGAAAATCTGATTTACAGGCAGCATGATTCTCAATTTCAGCCTGGCGCCACCATGCAGACGATGGGTCCGTTTCATTTGGATTCACCTCAGTAATCACTTCTGATCACTGGAGTGAAGCCGAGTGAATCAGAGCAACGTTCTGTCTTCTCAAGCTAACCACAATTCCGCTTTGAGATCTTTTTGAAATCCAGGAAAATGGAGGTGTCCTCTCGAACCGTCCTGTCTTTTGTCCACGAGAAAGTGGAGAGTTGAGCCATGGAGCTGATGGAGTCAAGGAAAGAATGTGAGTCGAGAGAGGTGCTACTGTGTCTAAAATATCAATGAGGGACATGCTGCCAAGTTTTGGAGCACACAAGAGGAAATAGGTTTTCTGTTAACAGAGAGACGACCCGGGCAGCTTTGCACTGCTGTATGTACTCGCTGCTGATATCTTTGTGTTCCGTGGGGCAGATTTTGTTGTATTTTGACTAAATAATTCTGAACACACTCTGCTGCTTCCTCAGTGCCCTATTTATGTGGAATAGTACGCTATCAGCCGGCGTGTTCCTTAAAGTTGAGGCAACTGCCGGCTCTGTCATTCAGTCATACTGTGCAGCCGAACAACACACCGGAACTGTGTGCTTGCCCAGGTGAATCTTTAATGTGGAGCTCAGCAGAAAACATGACAAACAAATTCATCAGTATAACAATACATGTTCCTTGTGTTTCCACACTCGTTTGATTTCAAAGATATTTATCTTAAGAGGATAATAATTTGTGAAAGTCTCTGACATTTGTGGCTAGCTAGCATGATAATAAATCCATGGCTTGGAACATTTTTTAGTTAATTAGAGTCAATCAATCCAAACTTTGCTCACTTACCGGTGTGAAACCGGAGTATAATGAGCAGAAATCAGCATGGTGATTGGAAAACACAAATTACAGCTGTTAAAGAGAAACTCATCCACTTTTCTTCTGTTGATGCCAATGCCTGCTGCGAGGATTTAAAATTAGCATGGCATTCCTTTAATGGATGTTGGGGGAATGTGCTCCTCTATAATTAAAAAACCTGTTAATATCCTCGAAGGCTAAAATAAGAGGGGTTAGTATGATTACGCTCTCCAAAAGGACATACTGGTCAGCTGACTGTTAAACAAAAAGGTGTCTGTATTAATTTGTTGTCATAGTTTGCTTCTATTGCAGAAACATAAACCTAAATTATGCACAGTGCATCGTGCCACTTATATATATATTAGTGATATTTTTTTTGCCCATGTTTATCCATATTATCAGCAAATGAAGTAACACTACATAATGGTGTGTGACCATACCAGTGAGGTGGTCAGCACTGCCGCTTCAGTAAGATCATGTGGCATGTTAATGAACTTCCCTGATATATGGCGCCGTCGTCGCCGTTAAGGGCTGCGTGTATCTCTATGGTCAGGGTTACATTCATATATTCTTGACATATTCCGTGCACCTAATATTCATGGTGTAATGGTGTGAATAATGAGCCGATGATGTTAACAGCACGCAACAAAGGGATCTTTATCTGATCTAGGTGCCCAGACAGCAGCGGCGTGACATGACCCGGCTGCCGGTGACCACAATGTATATGACCTCACCGCTGGATGTAATTTCCTCTCAAGAGCTCTTGGAAAGGGAGAGCTTATGTTGTTGAGCTCATGTCGTCAAGGCTGGTAACAGCAGCTTGCCATTGTATTAATTATTGTCAGGGAATCCAAGGGGTGTAGATAATACAGAATGCACTGGTTGGTCCCATTTGTTTCACTTGTCAGTGGAGTGAATAATTGGGAGTGCTGACCATATTAGACACAGAGAATTTCTAAAAGATACGACTCAAACAGTTGCAACACAAAAGTATGGCTTGGAAATTAAAAAGCTTAATGTCTGAGAATTTCAAATCAGTATGGAATAATTTGCTGGTTTCTCATTGCCAAAGGAATTTACTGAAGTTTAACTCTGACAACAGTGACTCTGATGCACAAGGAAACATACAGTTCAGAATATTATGCTCAAATTAGGGAAGCTGTGTTTATTGTGATTCATTTGTCTCACAAAGATTGCACACGGTGTCTCCACCGAACGTTTCTTGCGGTAAGCATTAGCGCTGATTAGCGTTAGATATTTTGCACCCTGACTTTATTCTTTAAAGGCTTGAGAACATTGATACAGTTTTAGTAGAGGGGGTTTGATAATACAATGGGGCTCATCTTGCAATTCTCCCAAGGAATAACTATCAGTCCTGCTACAGCGGCTTCAGCGTCCCTAGGTGACCGCGCCACTGAGCCCGTGTTCGCTCCATCGCACCCCACTCCACGCCTGCTGCCACCCTGAAGGTAGATGCATCACGCTGGGGAGACTGCGCAACAGCAGCCCCCTCTCCCTCCAGCCCCCAAACCTTCTCCACGGCACAGTGGCCTCCTGCGGCCCCGACACCATTCCGGGTCTCCACTACAGCCCCGGTCCCAGCAGCCCAGAGCCTCCCTCAGGTGAGTCTCTCCACACCACCTCCATGTGTCCTCCCACCTGAACTGCACAACTGGTATCCTTTTTGTCATTTGAGAATGCCACACACACACACACACACACACATGCATACTGTACACGCACACACTCCTGTGCTCACTCTGGAGGGGACACCGCCTGTTCCTTTCTGCTCACCTCCCGGCTGCCGGCTGACTCTCTGAGCCGTGTCTGTGGTGGCTGCGCCATGTGTGGGGATCTAGGGGTTTAAAACAGCAGGCCTCCCATACTCCCCGAATGGCAAATATAAGTGCTTCCAATTTATTACACAGCGGACGTTTTAGGAATCATCTCCGAGTAACTTTGATCCGAAATGACAACCACGTGCTAATCAGTCCCAATATCGAAATATATGTAAAAACAATGAGGCTAGCTGCATCTGTTCACATAATCAAATTCATCACGATGAGCCAAATCTAGTAGAAATATTGCACTTCTACTGACCCTTCCACTTGATTTTCCACACATATAATTAAACTAATGCTCCAAATTAACCCGTTTGTTCTTTCAATGTTTGCTTTTTTTCCCCTATGATGAACTGAAATCAAAAATCCTGATGGCACTCCACAGCAATTGTTTCTACATGCAAAGGAGTCACATCCCGGACTAATATTCACACGTAACTGTAAATGCAGCTCAAAGCAGATAGAATGCATAGAGGCAGATGTTTAGTAAAAGGAGCCCTGCTTGTGTTTAGACATACAGTTAACTAGAATTGAGGGGTGGAGTCTTTAATTTAAATGTAACTGCTAAAAGCCTTATAATTAGTATTTACTGTAACATGCAGTTTGCATTAATTTTGTCTCACTAAGGTCTCTCTGAAGAGGCTCCTTGCAGCATTTTCCTCCTCCTCCCCCCCTTTTTTTAAATATTATTTTTTTTCAATAAAAAAAAAAAAAAGCCTTTAAGCTATAACACTTTTACTGAAAACACAAATTACAACTTTCACTTTATAGGTTGCCATACCACACCACACTTAGTTAACAAAATATTTTACAAACAAGATGATATCACCCTCTCCATGATATTAATATGATATGTTCTCTGATCTGTAAACAGCTGGTTATCTTGCTTTTCCACGATAAGAGAAAGTGCTGAGGATTTACGCTTGGTGAGCACATTTGGGCTGAATCTTTCACACGTCACAAATTGCAGATGGGAAGCAGTGATCTTGAACAGCCGATCACATTTCCGTGACCATCTGACACCTTCCATTTAGGAAAATAATACTTTCTATCTTAGCATACCCCCTCTGCAACAGCCAGCAAAAGGAATTATGCCTGGTAGACTTTGCTATTCACAACTTTGGAGCTTCTCCTTTTGTTTTGTTTCATTGCTCTGATTAGATTAAATGTTCACTCTTTAATCAGCTACTCAAGGCTGCAGTAATGCTGACAGTTTGTGTTCGGCTTTATTTTTCTGTGCTGTTACAGGCTTAAAATTGTGCACTTTTAAACAATGCACGGTAGGAGCATTATATAGAACCCTGTGTAAAATAAGGAGTTTATTATACATTTCCCTGTGCATAGACGATGGCCAGACGCTGGGATCTTTGTGTAGCCTCTCACATTATGACTGAGCTACAGCATTGAAATCTAAAGTGCTATTTACGCCAACATCCGCCCTCTTGTTTCCATAATGTTGAAGACAAGAAAAAAAAAAGGAGTTTTTACCCATAGAGGTAGATATGGTATCTGAGTAATATGACAGATAAAAATGAGTCGGGTTAACTGGTACAGAGAGTTGTAAATCACTGTAGTGTGATTCTTTGTCTCAAAGGGTTTAATTAGTCTAGAAATTCTTCTCTTATCTGATGACCCCCCTCCCTCTGCACACTGCAACAACTTACAACCATGAACGCCCTGCAATCTGAAGACCAGTGGCCTCAGGAGACTGAGTTGCTACAAAGAGCTGAAAGAGTTGGAAATGGTCATTTTATTGCGTTAGAATAGCTCGCTCGAGACTTGGGTAATGTAGTGCTAACGGAGAGCTAGTAAAGATAACAGTATGTGACTCCGAAGTGAGATACGGTGAATTACTGTACCGCTCCCGCAGTGACAAGCCCTGCGAAGATGAGGTAACACAATAATAGTAGTAAACAACGCCACAAACTGCTTTCATGGCGGTTTCGAGCCACTAATTAATATTACAGTACTATAGTTTTCCTTCAGCGGTGATGATTATTTGAGATGCAGCGCACAATCTAATCAGTCATCTCGCACAAGGCTCGTGTAGAATGAATTTTCTCAGTATAACTACAAGTGGGGGATACGGAGGCTGTGTGCTTGTCAGGCACTCAGACATCAAACAATGTTATGGTTACATCTATTATAAATGCTACCTATATGTGGTGGCCTGTTACTGCTTGACGGTAGCATGGTGTTGCTCTATTTCATAGTACATGAACAAACCCATTTATCCCTATCTGTCATTTCATAACTTGTGAGCTATCTGTCACTCGTGGTCCCATGGGAGTCCGGTATGTAAGTTTATTTACTCTAATTGAGCTCTTTATGTAATTGACAGTTTATTCTGTCCTAATAAGTCATTGCTAGCGGCTTTTTAATTGGATTCACAAGAATTTTATTTTGCTTTTTTTTATTTTTTTGGGGAGAGAGGGTTACATTAACTGATATTTACGTGCAGGGTTATAGGAGGGAATTTTCATTCGGACAGTAAAATATTTCCAAGTTTTGAAATATTGGACATCAAGCTGGAGGAGGAAGCTTGTATAATGTGTTGATTTTTATAATACAGCACTGCAAACTACTTCATAGCTGCTGCTGCTGGTGACACAGTGCTTTGGTGCAATTCAGAAGTTATAGTGGACAACCAGGAGTCTTATTCCTTCTGCAACTTATGGTGGCGGATGAGGGGAAGGCGTGCAGGTATACGGGATCTAAACATACAGCACATACACGGTGCACTGCTGGATGCCGTGTTAGGTTTCAACCCTTTGTGTTTTGGGGCCTGAAGGCAGGCCTCAGGTTGTTTAACAGTGAGCCGATCAGACAAGATAATAGTTCATATAACAGCGTGCGTTGTGTCAGGCTGATTTTCTGCTTGTTGTTTTATAACTTTACATCACTTTGGGAATGTGTGGCGTTTCATGGTGCGTTGCCTCTGATGCTTTTGTCACATTGAAATGCAAAAAAAAAAAGAAAAAGGGGGTGTGTGGGGGGATTTTCATGTGCTTTAATCCAACATTACATTGTGCTGCATTTATGATACAGATGCAAAAAACAAAAAAAAGCCCCAAAAACAACAAACAAAACTTGAGTTTGTGTAGAGCACCTTCTTTTGAAGGACTAGCAGAAGCAGAATGAGATGAGGGGTTATTTTGGCGATGGAGATTAAGGCAGGGGCTTTTTGTCATTTGTGCGAGACAAGCCATTCATCCATCCAGTTCACAGCCAAAAAAAGGCTGGTCCCAGAAATTAGCAGTTTCAGCTCAGCAGCAAAGTCGTCGGGCTGTGAAGGCAGAGAGAAATTGACTAATTAGCAATGCGCACTAAAACTTGACGGTTCTCTCTATAACAGCGAGGGAAAGACTCGGTTTTTCTCCCCCTTTCTCTTTTCTTTCTTCCATAGATGTTTGAAATCGCAGTCATTTACGCTCGACAGTTTTTACAATAGCCTTGAGCCATAATTTTGCGAGTCTCTCCAGCATCCATACCCCTGCATGGTCTCTCTCCACCGGCCATGCACGACCGTTTCTCTCCCCAACCGTGGATTTCCTATTACTCTCGTTACGACTCACTGAGCCCCAGGCCCAAGGATAATGATGTGTTGTTTCTTGGTAGCATAATTTGTCACACGTATATTTCTTCTTCTTCTTCTCTTGCAGAAAGCACAGCTCCCTCTCACACACTCACACACTTCTTGTTAATTCAGAAGAACAAATGATCAACGTCAACAAATAACCTGAAATAGTGACTTTATGAGTTGGAATCAATGGTTATTCTGAGGCACCACCGACCATAAGACTTTACAGGAGAGAAAAAAAGGACATTTCTTAAAAGGAGAACAAAGGAAAATTCAAGTGAGATTATTGGGAACCTGAAGCTTACTTTCTTTTTTTTTGTGAAGAGCTGAAGTCAGGTAAGTTTGGCTCCTTCTCAGGCGAGCTGCTCACATCATTTAGTTGTGACAGGCGCTTTTAGTGAATCAACGTTACAGCACGCTTGTGTCAAGTTTACACACATTACGCACATAGAAATCGCTTCTTCTGCTCTTTTTCCGTGCACAGCCCGAGAAACAACATGTGCAATGCCGCGTTTAACTTTCGCCGAAAGCTGCATTTCAGTGAATATTTCTCGATACTCACGTCCGCGTAACTCAGGTAGGCTAAAAGCGAAAAACGCGCCCGTTCGTTCCGCTGCTGGCGGCTCGGAGGCAAACTAATTGCTTTTGTATGACTCCGTAAATCTGTGCGATGTGTAATGTCCTCATTGTGGGGGTGTGCAGCAAGACGGGAGACAGGAGAAGTGTCGGCTGAATGCTGCGTGTTCTCCGTCCACCGTGGCGGCTCGTCTCTTTTTCCTTTATCCGACAACTTCAGCCGGGAGCCGCGGGGAGACGCGCTGCAGCATCTCCGTATCCTCGGTTTGTTTTGACAGCGCCCTTCAAACCCTCAGCCTCCATTTCAGCCCGGCTCGTTCTCGCAGTTTAAGAATGAATAAGAGTGGCACGCTGTGGGAACTACTGCGTTTTTGTTTGCTGCTTTACGACCAGAGCTCAAAGTTGAAGGCGACTGGCGCCGCGGTGGACGCGGATTCTCGCCGGCTGCTTCGGCATGACGGTTATTCCCCGCTGGACGCACGGCCGAGCTGCTCGATAACTTGCTCGACAAAATCGTTTTCTGTTGTAATAGTTTGACTGATAGCATCTATAGGCTACCTGTGTCGTGCAAATAAATGACCTGAGGTAAATGGCTTGCATGGTTTATTTGTTGCCTAGGTGGCGTTCACAGTCAGGAAGTCATGTCCAGATCGGGTGATAGAACATCCACCTTTGACCCAACACACAGTGACACCCTGCTGCACGGGCTCAACCTCTTATGGAGAAAACAGCTTTTCTGTGATGTGACTCTCACTGCCCAGGGACAGCAGTTCCACTGCCACAAAGCTGTGCTGGCATCCTGCTCCCAGTATTTCAGATCCCTCTTCTCCTCCCACAATGTAATCAACAATGAGGGAAGCAAAGGGGACCAGGGCAGTAGTGGGACCCCCTCATCCTCTCCTGATGACAAGCTGGTGACCCCCAGCGCCAGGCCCATCAATAACCTGGTACTCCAGGGCTGCTCCTCCATTGGACTACGATTAGTGCTGGAGTACCTGTATACTGCCAACGTTACTCTTTCCCTGGACACGGTGGAAGAGGTGCTGTCAGTCAGCAAGATCCTCAACATCCCCCAGATCACCAAGCTCAGCGTGCAGTTCCTCAATGACCAGATCTCCGTGCAGAACTACAAGCAGATCTGCAAGATTGCTGCACTCCACGGACTGGATGAGACCAAGAAGCTGGCCAACAAGTACCTGGTGGAGGATGTGCTGCTGCTGAACTTTGAGGAGATGTGTGCCATGCTAGATGCTCTGCCACCCCCGGTGGAGTCAGAGCTGGCTCTCTTCCAGATGTCAGTCCTCTGGCTGGAGCATGACCGGGAGACTCGCATGCACTATGCACCGGACCTTATGAAGAGGCTGCGCTTTGCCCTCATACCTGCCCCAGAGCTGGTGGAGAGGGTGCAGTCTGTTGACTTCATGAGGAGTGACCCTGTGTGCCAGAAACTACTCCTGGATGCCATGAACTACCACCTCATGCCCTTCAGGCAGCACTGCAGGCAGACCACGGCCAGCAGGTGAGGAAGACACAGACAGACAGACAGACAAGCACGCACACATGAATTCACGCAAACACACCACAATCAGCTTTTTCACAGTGGATGGAGGGAGATTAAATTCCTCCTGCTTGTTAAATTTGAACAAATTACAGAGTCAAGCATTGCGCAGTTGCTTTTGCACTGGTCCCAGCACCTGTGTAGCCCAGAGCATGTAGGTGGTCAGCTAGAGGCGTGATGGCCAGTTTACGAGGACTGTGGGGGCATTCCTGGAGGAGAATGACAGCTGTCAGGGCTCCTCATACACTCTGTGCCACACTGTACCCATAATTATAATGTTACCTTATGTTTTACTGAAGAAAACAACTCTTTTATTTCCTCACACATCTGTGTAATTGCTCTCTAATCAGTGTAGACAAGATGCAGCAATCTAGATAAAGGTTATGCATTTGATTTGTGGCAACTCTCATGAATACAATTTGAAATGCTGCAATTAAATTGTTAGCAGAATTACATGGTAACTGCATAACACTCCTGATGCCAGCACAAGGGGTGCACTGCTACTACTGATGTACACAATTAGGAAAATGCAATGAAGAGGATTTAGTGTGTTTGTGTTGTATTTGAGAGAAACGTTCCTTTTGGCTGAGAGGCCGATGCTCAGACATCCAGGTTAGATGCCTCACTCACGCACAATAAACAGACCAAGTTGCATTGCTTGCTTCCATGTTTGTCCTGATCAGTACTTCCAGGAGCTGGCAAGTCGATGGGCATTGTCAGTGAGTGGAGTGACTGACAGAGCTGTTGTCTGGTTGTGTTCACAGAACTGATTGACAGTAAAGGGTGGCTCTTCTTTTTTTTTTCTTCCCTTTTAACGTGCAGATAGCATCACTATTCAGGTTTTAAAATCACTGCATAAATTTGTGAGGAGAGGAAACACAACACAGAGTCTGAACATGACAAAGACGTTCAGCTGAAATAATCTGAGCAGTGAATCATCCTGAGCGTGCCTACTTGTACATCACCCCAAATAATATATATCTATTTCCACATATGGACCTAAATGAGCAAGGAATCAGGAATCCTCATAATTAGTTTCACATGCTACTGTTTCTCTCCTCTCAATTAATCACCATTATCTATGTCCAGGGGCTCATTTGCATATGAATAACCCCAAAACACTTCCGAGTGGGCCAGTATCAGGGAGAATATAGCGAGACGACGGCGATTTAGCCAAGCATAAAAAAGTAAAATATGAGAAAGGGAGTAAGGTGAACATGTCTGAATATAAAGGCCAGCTAGTCTTAATGTTTTTACTGCATATTGTGATAAATTAGTAGATTTGTGTTCAAAGCCATTAGGAGCCAGATAATGGTCATTAATGTACAGTAAAGTGTGCGGCTTTCAGGTTATATTTCATATACGAACAGCAGGAAATATCTCACAATTGGCTCGGGGACGTCACATGAATCACCGCAGCCAATGAAATGGAGACATCGTATAGGCAGGTTTATGTTCTCAATTGTGCTTTTAGCCTCCAGCATGGCACCCTGCAGGACTGTCCTCGCGTCACAGCTAATTGAAAAGATATCTTTAGAGTACAATAACCATTCAATAACACATCAAAATGATACATACACTGCTGAGCAATTTTTGCTAATCATTATAAATGTGGCCACATATCGCCTGATTAGTAGTTTCGAGTTCAGTAATAGTACTTGGACAAGGAGCAGTTACTCATTTAACCATGCATTTATTTATTTCATTGGCTGATTAATTCATTCATACAATGTGAATTTGCAAAGTGAAAAATCTGAATACTCCAGGAGAGAGCCGTTAATACTATCAAAGTAATTATGTAAATTAAGGAATTAAAGGTGTCGAGGTTGTGCTTATTTTGGCTTTTAGATGTTTTATTTCAAGGCTTAATACCTGTTTTTGTTCTATGTTCTCTAACACTTGTTCGCACACCCACACTTTTTTTTTTTCCCCGACATTACAGAATCCGTTCCAATAAGAGGATGCTGTTACTGGTGGGTGGTTTGCCTCCTGGACCTGATCGTCTCCCCAGCAATTTGGTCCAGTACTACGATGACGAGAAAAAGACATGGAAGATCCTCACAAGTGAGTTAGCAAAGGCTCTTTTTTGGTTTTGTTGTTGTTGTT